TTCGCCGGCAGATGTGCGCTCTCATCAAAGTGGCTCCAATTGCCTGCTTGTCGGTCAGTCCACTCATCTGTCAGTCCAGCTTCGTTGGTCAAACTAACGCTCTGACGGATTGATACTTATCTTTCCCACCGAGTAGAGGAGGATCCAGCTCAACTGAGAGAGACGATTAAAGGCATAGCCTCCAGTCGACGAGACGGAAGCCCCACTTTTGTCCACATCAACTCTATGAAAGTTGACAAGCATATGAAAATCATGAATTTCACGGCTCCAGAGGAGAGTCTCTAGCGTGAGGCAAGGGTGACCACAAGCGTAAATATCTGCAACGCTAAGATGTATACGGCCTAACAAATAAACAAAAAAAATTTTTTTTATAAAAAAAAACTAATTTTTGGTCATTAAATATGGCACGATTTGACTTCACAATGTCACTCAAATTAAGCTAGCCTTACCTCCACAAAAGTATTCTCATTCAGGGTGGACTGAAGTTTCATCAGCACCCCCAAAGGGAACCGAACCCGAACAGTCAGTTGTTGCTTTCGACAAGCCAATATTACTCAACACTGCTACGAGTTTCAATGGGTCAGAGGACAGATGTGAATTTCAAGACAAGCCGGGAGTCTCATCCTTCACATTTTGTAGACCATTATTTATTTTGTTGAGCATACTTCCATTTCGAGTGAAAGTGTTGAGTGAAGAGATTCGAAGTTCGGTTCCACCAGAAGACGACGACGAATTCCTCTTGACCAGCTGTTAATTGGCTTTACCACAAGATTCACACAGACGCTGTTTCCGAGGTAATCTCCTTCAATTCCGATGAAAAAGTGCTAGGCTTTCGTCCGTCATATGACGAACATCATCAGAGCAAGGTATCATCGTCGCAACCAAATTTAAGAAAACTTGAATTGTTAGCTTGAATTTGATTTTGACGATGATACTTTGCTCTGATGATGTTCGTCATGTGACGGACGAAAGCTTAGGACCTTTTCACCGGAGTCGAAGGAGATTACCTCGAAAACAGCGTCATCATGAATGTTCCAGCAAAGCCATTCGACAGCTAGTCAAGAGGAATCCGTCGTCGTCTTCTGGTGGAACCGACCTTCGAATCTCTTCACTCAACACCTTCACTCGAAATGGAAGTAAGCTCAGCAATTATGAAACAAGAGATTATTTATTTTGCCATTATAATAGACTATGCTACTTATATTTGTAGTAAGTAGGTTTCGAGATTCAGTATACATCACTAGGCTCTCAGTAGAAAAAATAATCTTATGGCTGAACCAATACTGGTCACCCACGTTGGGACTCTTAAGAACGGGGAGTTGATAATGCAGATCAACAAACCTTGATCTGAGACTGGGTTTGTTAGCCGTTACCAACTAGTTCCTTTCACAGCTATCAAGATTCGACTCCTTTTCCTTAATGCT